TTAATATAACCAACCGGTTTTATCTTTCAACTAGTGATCCATTAGGATCCAAAGGTTCTACAACCCGATAGACGATCAACCAGTTCAAAGTATGATTCTCTAAGATAGAATCTACTTCACTCTCGGTAGCCTCTCTCGTGTTGGTCCACCTGTAGAAGTCAACGCTTCTACATACGTTCGAGGCTCGTTTTCTAACAACCATGTCAGAAAATTCAGCTCATTTTATAGTAAACAAGTTAGACTGTGCTCATCACATTTTAACATGTACGTTAGAAAATATGAACCAAAGGATTTTTCAATCCTAGCTCTCTTGCTACGTCTAGCTTTGAGTCCAGGTTCTCTTTCATACCCTTCAACCATAGCTACGCCGAAAGTTCATTTCAACGTGCTAGGTCCTTTTATTGAACCTTCACAGAGATACATTTTATAAAGAATAATGAATTTCTTAGATTCAATTTATCGTGTTCTTATGTACATCCAAACTATAGGGCTCGTGTACTAAGAACCAATATACACCTTTGGCAAACACCCCCACATTTCAGGCATTAGTAGGAAAACCTCCTACGTACCCAGAATTCGTAAGAATTTCATGCGGGTAACCTTATTTAAAAGGTACTTACTTGTCCAAAGTATTGTCTCACACCACATACTTTGAGGTAGACCCGAACTTATCAACGTCTTGATATTTATGTTCGGCAACAACGTTCGATTGAGGTGAATACCGTGTCGTATGCTCGAGTACAATACCAAGGCTTGCGCAGAAATCACCAATAGGTGTTTCATATTCACTACATCGATCGTTCGTAACCGCATTAATCCATGATTAATTTGGTTTTTCTCTTTATTCTTATAAAGAATAAATATGTGCTACACATTAGCACATCTCATAGAAGCTAACAGATTAGCCTTTACAAATCCATTCGGTTTTTGACCGAAAGGCCACAAACCCGAACCAGTGCTTCCGAAATTGAAGCACGAATCAGTGCTTAGTAATGAAGCACGAAACATGTTATTCCAATCACGAATCATTGCTTCTAAACTAACGCATCGATTCCAAAGCAATCTCTATTGCTTTAAATTATAAACTTATAGCAACATTCGGTTGCTTAATTTATAATTTCAGTGCTACCTAGCACTAGAATTATTAGCTAATTAGACAATTAGCCAAACCTCCTTTCGTGCTAGTCACGAAGCACTTTACAACGCTAAATTTAATTAGCCCATTGCACAATGCTAATTCAACATTTTGGACGTCCAGTGCTATTAAGCACTTCAAGTAGCACTTTAACAATGCTAAATTTAATTAGCATTTTCCGTTAAGCTCAAGCTTAATTTGACGTCCCAACAATTTGTCTCAAATTTTATTTCATACTAGTATAATTCGAATTTTTGATCAAATTGATTATAACACAATTAACAAAAACAAATCAACCAAATTTCCGACTAGTTGAATCAAACTTATATAATCGTACTCAGAATATTATTTAAAATATTCAACACTTTAGCTGTGACACTCACGATTATATAGCTATCCCAATTTTTGACAAATTGACCCTTGAAATCCTTATCGTTCTACATGAACCAGAACCGAAGTTCTTTACGGGATTTCAAGCATGTAACACGCTTGTTACATTGAGCTCCGGCCGTTAAGCCATTTTAACATTTTCCACATAATGCTACGTGATGCAGTACACACCCATATTGAATCATTTCATACATTTGACATTATTCTAACAAATAATTCGTATGTACCAAAATTCAACTCAATGGAACAATTATATTTTTATTCAAGTAAAAATATTACAAGGATACTACAACATTTATTCAAAATAAATAAATAGGAAAAACTACATTGGAAACACATTTCCTTATTCCTATCTCGTAGTAATCCTTCAAACCCGTGTGCCTTGTTCCATTCTCAACTGTCCACTTCACAAAGGGTGGTCCATAACGCACATCGAGGGTACCTCGGTTGTGACTTCACAAAGAGGCCACTCTTTCCTTAAAACCTTATTTGCCACCTCCCAAAAGTGCTAGGAGCGTCGTGGCCTAGGTTTCCCAGGATAAAACGCGCTACGGTTCGATGTTTGAGCACCCAAACGAATGAACCCGACGAACTAGAGCAAAGCCTTGAACACAGTTAGGCTTAAGAAAGGAGTAGAAGCAAAAGTATTTTGAAGCTTGAAAAGTGTATTTTCGAGTTGTGTGCTTGTTCACTGCATGTCGTAAAAACCTTCTGCCCTCCACCCCTTCTTATATAGGGGAGGAGTACTTAATAGCATTGATCATGGCTATTAAACTTGGCTATGTAACATCTGAAACAGCAAGCCATTTAAATTCAAAATTAAACTTGGAATTAATTGAGAATTTATTCCCACTTTTGTCCGTTGGCCAACTGGTTTCCACTAGGTTAGTTCAGTTGTAGTCAGGGCCGGTCCTATCATTTTATAGGCCCAGGGCAAAGTAAAAATAAGGACCCTTAATATATAAAGTTAAAATGATTATATATATATATATATATATATATATATATATATATATATATATATATATTTTGTTCAAAAGATTGTGTTAATTGAAAATAATTCAAGGATAATTTTAAGACTTTATTTTTAAAAAAAAAATCAGTTGAGCTAATCCCGAAATAGTGATCACTCAAACTTTGGACCCCTATATGAAATTTAATTATAAATTAATTTAATATTCTCTAATATATACGGAGTATCTATTAATTGAATTATTATATTAAATAATTGTAATGATTAAGTAGATTTAATGTTAAATAGTAATTTTGAAGTTGTGGGTTCAAATCTCTGCCCATGCAAGAAATTTTTTTTCACTTAACTTCATCAAAAAATAAAAATCCAAGTTAGGGGGTCCCTTTCAACATTGGGCCCTAGGCGGGTGCCCATTCTGCCCACCGCTCTGGGCCGGCCCTGGTTGTAGTTTTGTTAGGCTCAGTGGCCTAATTACATTATCATGTGCAATTAGATAACTTTTATAAATTATATATAAATATTGGCAAGTGTGTATCTCAAAAACTTAAATAATATATCATACATACTCATAAATAAATTTATTTCTTATTTTTAATATTCATTTGTGCATATACAGATATATCAACAATAAATTAATGTTATAGGCTAAAAAGGTAATGCACTAACAACATGAAAAGTCTATGGAGTAATCGACAAAAAGAAAATGAAATTCGGTGTCATGACAACATCTCTTGTTGAATTATTCAGTACTTAGATTAGTGAGGTATCAAAATTGGTTTTCTTTGAGAAATTTGTTGAAAAACACTGTAATCCAAGCAAAGTGTAATTGTTACTTTTTATAGAAGTCAAAACATTAAAATTGTAACCTATTAGCCTCTTGGGCTAAATTTATCCCTAAGAATACTCGTTCAATTTCAAAAATATGTCATATTTTTACATCATTAAAATTATAATTTTTTTTGAAGAATTTTATCTACACATCTATGCAATACTATTTCACTTTCAAAAGTGATCTCACTTTCACATCACATCAAAACAAAATAAATAAATAATAAATAAAAAAAGTACACAAGACTATCGACCTATCGTAATAGCAGCTGCGACAACCTTTTGTACAAGGTTACAAACTTCATGCAGTTACAAGTTTGCAACCTATGTCATTTATACAAAAAAAAAAAATTAATCTTTTTTCTCTTTCCATGTAATGTTCCATGTTAACTTGCAATCCATATGATGGGTTTTCTCTTTCCATGTAATGTTCCATTCAGCGGTAATTATTTATTAGATTACAACATATGTAAAAATTTTAAAATGCTTTTTCACTCAATAAAATTTTGAATTCAAATTTTATGTATCCAATATGATGGGTTACGAACTTTGAGCTGAAATAAGATTGATATTGAAAGAGATGAGCCAAGTTGTCAATGTCGCATAGGGCAAGGGTCACGTATTGCAGTTGCCCCGTGCAATTTTGCATTGTGCATAGGTGTTTGTTCGTAGGCGTTGGTGGCCCACTTCGCATAATTACTGTGATACATCGAGGGCAAATTATACTGTGCATCCGTATGCACCATGGAAAAACGAAGTTGTTTTATTAAAAACGTGCGTTTTTTCTTAAAAAAAAAAATTTAGATTCGATTCCCAGCAACAACATATGAACTAAAATTCCAGAATCGATGAACTATAATTTCAGAATCTATGAACTAAAATTCCAGAATTTAATCTATGAACTAAAAATTCCAGAATGAATGAACTAAAATTCCAGAATCTATTAACTAAAATTTCAGAATCGATGAACTATAATTTCATAATCTAAGAACTAAAATTTCATAATCTATGAACTAAAATTCCATAATGAATGAACAACATAATGCTGTTGCTGGGAATCGAACTTGATTTTTTTTTTTTTTTTTAAGGAGAAACGCACGTTTTTAATAAAACGACGTCGTTTTTGCATCCGTATGCACCATGCAAAACTACTCTACATCGAGGCGCGAATAGCTTAGCGGGAAAATTAACTGTTTTAAAAATCTATAAAATGCAATTGACATTAATTATAAAGACATTCATTTTATAAATCTTTGTACTAGCTTTTTATCACTTTTACGGCAAGACTAGTAATTAGCATAAACCGAGAGGTCCAACAAAGATAGTCAAGCAATTGTTGCGATAACTCCAACATTTCAAATTAACCACAAAAATTTAAATTCTGTTCAAAAAATTACCCATTAATTTTCTTAGTTTTGTTTGAGCCTACAAAACGTTCAATATCTCCTTCTTAATTCTCAAGGTAAAGAAACATCACTATATTAAAAAAAATATATAATATTTTTGATTGACATCGATCAAAAGGAAATATACAATAAATAAATACTAAAAAAACAAACAAAAAGGCCAGCATTCACTATCGATCCAAGCACGTAGCCCCGCAAATCCCAACTGTCCGAAATTCTTCCAGACACAATAAATATTATTTATTTTATTTTTATTTTATCCTCTTCAATTTCCATTTTCCAAAACCCCCTTTTCCCCTTTCGGCGCAAAAAAATTGAAAAAATGGAGATAAAATACTAAACATATTATGAGGCATATGTGCAAGCAGTAGTCTTCATTATTCAGATCTACTTCAACTCCAAGTCTAGAGCGGGAGAAGTTTAGAGAGGGAGTGAATCCTTAGTTGAGAATTGAGATGGATGAGAAGTTGATACAGCGGTTGGAGTCGGCGGTAGCTCGACTGGAGACGCTGTCCACCGGCGGATTTGGCCATGGAACTTCGCGTGAGGTTGACGTTAGTGCGGCGGCGTCGGATCCATCGATCGTTGCATTCGAAGATCTGATTTCGCAGTGCGTCGGGAGGCTGTCGAGTGCTGCTGAGAAGATTGGAGGACAAGTTTTGGATGCTACTAAGATTGTAAAGGATGCATTCTCTGCTCAGAAGGAGCTTCTAATCAAAACCAAGGGAATTCAGGTTTTGATTTCTTCTGAAATTAACTCAAATAACAGAGCGGTTACTATGTTATAGTTGTGAATTTTTCCTTTATTTGACAATGCTCACTCCACTAGTCGATATAAAGATATTTGAATATGTCTGCTTAAATGTGTAAACCTGCATCGAATTAGTTCCTATGCTATAGTTGTGCATTTTCGCGTAATTTGATAATGATCACTTCGCTCAGTCAATATAAATATGTTATCAGATACGGAATTTTAATGATTTTTTTAAAGCATAATACTAAACTGGATGATCACTTCACGAGTTGCAACTGAGTTATTCTGAAAGGCATTACTGTTTTATCGAATTGAAGGAGCAGTTCTCAGCAAGAGGATGTTAATACTATGTGAATAGTGGTGCCTTAAGTATTTAATTAGTTTCTTTCTATTGCTATTGCCCTTGGCTCCTCACCATTGTCCTTTATTTTGTAGAAACCTGACATGAAGGGTCTCAGTGAGTTCTTGAAGCCTTTGAATGAAGTAATTATGAGGGGATCATCGTTGACAGAAGGGCGGAGATCTGATTTCTTCAACCATTTAAAGGCTGCCACTGATAGTTTAACGGCTCTGGCATGGATTGCCTACACAGGAAAAGATTGCGGTAAGATGGGTGTTTATATCTCTTTCTGTAACATGTTTGCTTTGCTCAGTTACTGATCTTACTGTTTATAAACAGGTATGAGCATGCCCATAGCCCATGTTGAAGAAAGCTGGCAGATGGCTGAGTTTTACAATAACAAGGTATTTTGATTTTCTCTATGAGCATAGCTTATCCACATAATTCCTTTACTAGGTGAAATAAGATGTAAAACGTGGCCCATAAATGGGAGAAGGAAATGCAGTAAATAATTTTCATGTAATTCAACTGTTGTACCATGGTGAGAACCTGGGTATTTCCTCAAGGCTTTTTCCTGTTTGCCATTTGTTGAACCATTTCCCTCATCACTGAATGTTGTTGAAGCTGTTTTTATTATTTATTCTTGAACCTTTTCATTGTATCATAGATTCTTGTAGAGTATAGAAGCAAAGATCCAAATCATGTTGAGTGGGCAAAAGCTTTGAAGGAGCTTTATTTACCTGGATTGAGAGATTATGTTAAAAGTCACTATCCTCTGGGCCCTGTATGGAATGCTACAGGGAAGACTTTTGTATCTGCTCCAGCTAAAGCTCCTGGTACTACTCCTGCACCTCCAGCTCCACCCCCAGCTTCACTCTTCAAGACTGAATCTCCTAAGTCTTCATCATCACGTCCGAAGCAAGGAATGGCTGCTGTTTTTGAAGAAATAAGTTCTGGGAAGTCAGTAACTTCTGGTAATTTTCCTTAATCATGCCCTCCTCATTAGGTCATGGTTTTATACTTCTTAGTGAGATTGTCTTTTTAGGTTTGAGAAAGGTTACAAATGATATGAAAACAAAGAATCGAGCAGACAGAAGTGGCATTGTTGGAGCTAGTGAAAAGGAAGGCCGTGTTAGTTCACCCTCATTCTCTAAAGCAGGACCTCCAAAATTAGAGCTCCAAATGGGTCGCAAGTAAGTGGCAACTATATTCCATGATTTTCATTTGTTTGCTTGCTGAAAGTTAACATGGCTATGTTGCTTCCAGATGGGTGGTGGAGAATCAAATTGGGAAGAAAAATTTAGTTATTGATGACTGCGATGCCAAGCAGTCTGTATACATCTTTGGTTGTAAAGATTCTGTTCTGCAGATCCAGGGTAACTTATGCTTCAAGTGTATATTATTTTCTTATCTGGTGTAAATTGGTATTGAAATGCAGTACAATGTGTTTTGGGTCTGTGCTTTAAGTTGAACAAATCTAACTTGTGTCAGTGGTTATACTTTGCAGGAAAAGTTAACAACATAACCATTGATAAATGTACTAAGATGGGAGTTGTATTCTCGGTAAGTGGATTTATTTTGAATATACATTTTTCTCTGGATAGGTAAAACCAACTAGCTAATGTCGTGACTTAAAACCTGCTGAACAGGATGTTGTGGCAGCTTTTGAGGTTGTCAATTGCAGCGGTGTAGAGGTGCAATGCCAGGTATTTGGTTTTTTATTTTTTTATAATATTGAAAGGAGCTTTACTATTCTCATCATCATTGCCTTTTATTTTGTTTGATGTTGTCATTGAATATGTTCCTCTTGGTAACTTTCTCTTTCCCTATAGGGCGTGGCCCCAACAATTTCAGTGGATAATACATCTGGGTGCCTGTTATACCTGAGCAAGGATTCTTTGGAGGCTTCTATTACAACAGCCAAATCCAGTGAAGTTAACATTTTGGTGCCTGGTGCAGGGCCTGATGCTGATTGGGTATGTTTATCATTTTATATTATGTGCTTGCTATTAAAATCTTCAATACTGGAACTTAATGAAACCCATAGACCATATTTGAGTATTTGACATAGTTTCTGCTTATTTCTTTACGAGTTAAATTACATACAAGCTGCTTTATGTGATTATATGTTACGCTCACCATTATATATTAAACTGAAATTTGTGAACTATTTGGCCTCTCTTTTGCTTTTGGCTTCCTTTATGTTATAGATTTCTCAGGAGTAAATGCCCAAAATGGTCCCTCGATTATAGCATAATTCACAAATAAGTCCTCGACTATCAAGTTTAGCAAACTGAGTTCTCAACTATTCAATTCTTTCTCAATAAGGTCCTCAATTATTCAATTCTTACTCAATAAGGTCTTCAACTATTCAATTCTTACTCAATAAGGTCCTCAACGAAGGACTAATTTGTGAATTATTGAGTAAGAATTGAATAGTTGAGGACTTAATTGGTAAAATTGATAGTCGAGGACTAATTTGTGAATTATGGCATAGTCGATGGACCATTTTGGGTATTTACTCATTTCTCAGTATACAATTCTCTTGCACCTGACAAACTACTCATTCATGATGAGTTAATTTTAGAAGCAATACCAATTGTATAAATTTTTAATTAGAAAAATTGAAATAAGTAGCGTGATAGTGCTCTCGTCAGGATTGCTGGAAATTATTACTCTGTATGATTTGTTCAATCTGTGAATTTGGTGTGTAGGAGGAGCATGCTTTGCCTCAGCAGTATATTCATGTGTACAAGGATGGCCAATTCATAACATCTCCAGCCACCCACTCTGGAGGTTAAAATGTTAAATGGTGACAGCTCTCTCTTTTGATTGCTTATGCCTATCATTTTCTTTTTGCTCTGTGAATTTGACTTGCCAAAGGGTTGGGAGGAATTTCTTTTTCCTTATATTTGCTTCTGTGATAACATATACATTTTTGTTCAGTGTCCAATACTTTTTGTTTTTTCTGGGCAGTTTGTTCGGATGAAAAGAGCTTCTTGCGGGAGTCCTGTGTACTTTGTTGTGTTATTTGTATGGAAATTATATTTGTGCCATACCACATTTTGAGAACATTGTTACCCACCCGCCAGTTGTTTGGTGGATCTTCATGACATTACAATTTTTTGGGGTTATATCTCCAGAATACATAGTACATATTTGTTGTGTGTTCCTAATTACTTGAGTGGTGATTTTTGGGAATGGTAAATTTCTAAGTCTTATATTATATAAACTCTTCAACTATGTTAGGAAATTTCTAAGGGGTTGTTTGGTTGACCGTAATTTCGTTGTAATTGAATTACAATTCGTTGAAGTCCTAAATTACGTTGTTTGGTTAGAGGGAATTGCAATTCTCTCCTTTTGCTGAATTACAATTCTCTCCTTTTGCTGAATTACAATTCTTGACTCACCCCTATGAATTGTAATTCACCATTGAATTGGAGATGTAAAGACATGTTTGCCCTTGTTATCTGTTCTCTTCCGCAAGGCAACAGCGTTGAATTGTGTAAAATAGCAATAATATAATTTGATGTTCTATTCAGTGTGAGTGGTTGTTGTAATTGAGGTTTGTTGCTATTATGATACAATATAATAATAATAATAAGAATAATAATGATAATAATAATAATAATAATAATATTATTATTATTATTATTATTATTATTATTATTATTATTATTATTATTATTACATAAGGGCATTTCAGTCATTGTATCATTTATTGCGGGATGTTTCTTTGGAACTTCTTTTTATGTTTGGATGTTACAATGTTGTGCACATTAACTAAAAGTTTTGAGAAAATTAATCTTTACATAATATCAAAATATGCACTTTAGGTTGGGAAAATGTATGTAATATCTTACAATAAAAAGTTTGCAGGCATAGGTTTATAAACTCATGACATTAGTATGTTAAAAAACACTGAAAACTTCTTCGCCCGAACGCTACTCTTTTAAAAAAAAAAAAAAAATTGTTTAGAGAAGTCTCGTCACAAACATAAACTGCTCTGATTTCTCATTGACGAAAGGATGATTTGATTGTGATTTTCACAAATCCGTAAATAGTTTTGAGAGAGAGAGAGGATAAACTCCGACCAGTCTCATGCATTATGTTTAGATGTAAACTAAAATTTGTGTAAAGTCGAAGTGGATATTATGCTTTATTGGGCATCTAATCAAAAGATTTAAATATAGTATGATAGGTAGTGAGTTGTGCAGACGAAAACGTGGGTTTCACTTTCTCAGAGTGAAAATCAGAAACCTGTGTAAAATGGGTTGCAAGAGTCCTGTCACTTGATCATTAAAATTAAAATTATTATTACTATTAATAATAAGATAAGCGAGAGCAACAGTTGTGATGTAACCAACTATTGGCAGTAGCGCGCATCATGGGACTCCGTACATGCCACCATCTGCTGTACTCCCTTCCTCATTATCATTTTTTTCTTTTTATTTTTTGGTGTGAGATCCATCATTTTCAACTAAAACAGGTAGAATACTTTTTAAAATCAAAACACAGAAATTATACAATGACATCCTTTGAAGCATAAAAAATTGTAAAAAAAAAAAATGGAAATTTTTTAAACTGAGCGCTATAAATGTAAATATTGCTGAAAAATAATAGGATAAAATAAACTTTCCGAGTAATTGTGTAAAAGAATTTATCATTTTTAGAACATGCTTTAACAATTTTTATAGTTCCCTAATTATTAAAAAAAATAAAATCAATTATTTCGCTTTGTCAATTGTCAAACGGCTCAAACCTAAGTTATGTGGGACCCGTGGACAATAGTCACAACTCAATCACAAGTCACGACCTACTGTTTGCACTAAATGCCACGTCAGAAGCTCAGAGGCGGGTACAGTGGTGGCTTCATTCAATGTCCCCATGCCATTACCCCATTTTTATCTTATTTCCGAAATCACCCCATCCCCGCCTGAGCTCAGACCACTTTCCGGCCAGCCTCCCTTCCCATTATCTCTCTTTTCCTTTTTTTCTTTTAATTTCAAAAAAATAAAATTCTGTTTCCATTTTCATACTCGTCTTTGAACTGTGAATTTTCGCATAATAATTTTTCTGTTTTATAAAAAAGTTTTGTGTTGAAGTCAAAATGAACCTGGGAGTAGGGTTGAATGCAAGCAGAAAAATGAACGTTGATGAAATTTAAGAGCTCAATTTTTTTTATTTTTTTTTTCGAAAATAAAATATGTCAGTAATGGAGCTGAGAGAACGGCACACGGCGGCAATGCAGACGGTAAATTCTCTCCGAGAACGACTGAAGGAGAAGCGCCTCCTCCTTCTCGACACCGATGGTTGTTTTTCTTATTCTCCTTGTGTTTTCTTCTCTTATTTCTGGAATTTGATTGATGATTTTTAGTAAAATCTGAGTTTTCCTGAAGTTGTACGCATGAAACACTAGGATCTCATTTGATTTCTATTGAATCTACGGCAGTTGCTAGCTATGCTAAGTCACAAGGTAAATCTCCGATTAGCTTCGGCGCCACAGATCTGGTTTGTTGCCGGACCCTGCAAGGACACACAGGCAAGGTAGATTTTCTTATCAATCTGTGGAATTTCATACTCTTTTGGCTAATTGCATTCAATTGATTCGTGCTAGTAAGCTTCCTGGCTTAAATGCTTAATTGATTGTAATTTGATGGTTATCTTTTGAATATTTTGAAGCTAAAATTTTTACCTATCCTATAATCTGAAAGTCTATAGTTGCAAACTTGCAATGTGCAAAACTGCAAATTCAGTGTTCAATGAGGTGGCCATGTTTTCACTGATTGACTTCCTCAAGTATTTCTAAGAACCTTTGTTGTGAATGTGCAACCAATTGTTCTAGTAAATTAGTAATCTAGCATCGATAATCTGGAAAACTAGCAAAGACATCCAATCATTCTAAAGTAGTAATCTAAAAAGCTGTTCTGTAATCTGAAAATTTGTTGTTGCATGTGCAAGTTCGTTGTTCGATTTGGTAGATGTGCTACTATTCTTAGGTATTTCTAAGAACCTTTTAGTGAATGTGCTACTAATTCTTCTGGTAAAGTAGTAATCCAGCAAGGGTAAAATAAAACATTTTTTCACATCTTACTTTCTAGCATAAGGCCAACCCCCTGCCATGATATTGTTTTCCCTTGCAGTGAGAGATTGATATGTTTTCTTCTTTGTTGTCTTCTTAATATACTTGAAATGGGTAGTTTACCCGCAATCTCTTTAAATCTTTATACAGGTGTATTCACTGGACTGGACTCCTGAAAAGAATCGTATTGTCAGTGCATCTCAAGATGGCAGGTTAATTGTATGGAATGCTCTCACAAGCCAGAAAACCCATGCAATTAAGCTTCCATGTGCTTGGGTCATGACATGTGCCTTTTCTCCAACTGGGCTATCTGTTGCCTGTGGTGGGCTGGACAGTGTTTGCTCTATCTTCAATTTGAATTCTCCTCTTGATAAAGATGGGAACTTACCTGTATCAAGAATGCTTAGTGGGCACAAGGGTTATGTATCGTCGTGCCAGTATATTCCAGATGATGACACTCATTTAATAACTAGTTCTGGTGATCATACATGTGTTTTGTGGGATATAACCACTGGTCTGAGAACGTCTGCTTTTGGGGGTGAATTTCAATCTGGACATACTGCCGATGTGTTAAGGTGAGTTATAAATCTCTGTGTTTAGTTTTTCATCCATGTGTCAACACGAACTCTCACTCATTTATTGTAAAACCATTATTATTATCTTTATTTCAGTGTCTCAATAAATGCGTCAAATACAAGAATGTTTGTCTCTGGATCATGTGATGCAACTGCCCGTCTTTGGGACACCCGTGTTGCTAGTAGAGCTGTTCGTTCATTCCATGGTCATGAGGGAGATGTTAATTCCGTCAAGTTCTTTCCAGATGGTAATAGATTTGGTACTGGTTCAGATGATGGGACTTGCCGATTATACGACATTCGGACTGGGCATCAGCTACAAGTTTACTCTCAGCCACACAGTGATAACGAAGCCCCCCATGTGACTTCCATTGCATTCTCCATTTCTGGGCGTCTTCTCTTTGCTGGGTACTCAAATGGAGATTGCTATGTATGGGACACTCTATTGGCAAAGGTACGTCATACGTAACTTAGAGCTGCTTTTAAATTTTAATACATCTGTCTTTGACGCTGTTGTGTTGATCAGAACAAAAGTTGATAGCTTTTACATATAAAAATCAGTAGATCTCATGCAGATAGATTTTAACTCAAGAGTTGAAATGACTTTGCTTCTGTATATAGTGTGTGTTTGGTTATGTATATTGGTAACAGATCAGTACACCCAAAAGCACTTGAAGTAGGATATGAAGTTGAGTTATGGTATACATTTCCATTGCAGGTGGTCGTAAATCTCGGATCAGTTCAAAACTCTCATGATAATAGAATAAGCTGTCTGGGATTATCAGCTGATGGAAGTGCATTGTGTACAGGAAGTTGGGATACAAATCTCAAGGTGACACATTTAATTCCCGTCCTGTATGTTCTTTAGAATAGACTTGTTTAATTAATATCTATTCATATATCCTATACTTACAGATTTGGGCTTTTGGAGGGCACAGAAAAGTGGTCTGAATATTGGACGCCATCTCTTGTAGATCTTGTATCCTTGTCAAAACGGTGTGGTATCAAGAAAAAGAAATCATCATTTACGTCTTGTTATTCTTGTCAACCCAGACAGACTTAATAATAGATAAATATCTCATCATGGGTTGGCACTTTGTTCCGACCGTTAGATTCCTAATCTGTGTATCTATGTTGACAACTTCTTATACTATAGACTATAGAAGATTTACGAGCACAGAATTTCTTCTTATTAGAGTTGCAACTCGTATTATTTTGTTTGCAACTACGGATAATGAGCAGAGGATAACGGTAAGCAGTTTTGAAAAATCTCTTCCAACATTTCTGTTTCACCAAAATGGAGAAATACAAGAATATATCAATGAGAGGAAATCATACTGTTTCAAAATTTAAAACGAATACACAACAATTACTAAACCAATCTCCTATGCTTCAGAAAATATGCCAAGATGGTGATTTTGTAGTTAACACAAGTGTTCCCTCAAAAACATAAATGAATCTCCTGAGTTCTTGACCGGGTAAAAATGCAAATATTCACCTTTCCGTATGTAAGGTAAGTAGGTAACTAACCACTTGCCACAATTTCATGAATGGCATCACTGATGGATAGATCTTCAGATCTAACTGCCAACTTCATGGCAACCTCTTTTGGCCCATCAATTCCAAATGATAACCGCACAAGAACCTTAGCACTGCCTATGTACACACCAGATAATAAACACGTGTGCGATCTTGAATTGTTAGGGACAACCTCTGTGCCCTGAAGCAAACACAAAACACAGTTTCAATTTTGAGAATGTGAAAATTATGTACAGTTTACTTCCATTCTAATTAGACAATACACTATATAGGTGACATGTTATGTCGTAAAAAACTTTACAATGGGCTTTTAACAAAATTAAAAAAGCAAATGTGAAAACTGACCTCACAGGGTTGCATGCCAAGAAGGTTTATGACTGCATTAACAGCTTCAGCCAAGCTATCCCTAGGGCCAAGACCATATTCATCTACACGCTCACAATCAGGGCCCATTGTTTCCCACGCATTCCTAAAATTGGAGACACCCACTTTCAGCATGTAATCAGCAGCAACCACCTCAAGGTCCTCTAGCTGGTATTCATCTTCCACACCATCTTCCTCAGCTTCACCAGTAGATGGATCAACCTAGTCATAAACCAGCCAAACGACAGGGACATAAATACGTAATTACCAACTATAAGTTACAGGATCAAAGAAACATGGACAAAACACGAATTCAGCAAACAAAGGACAATCCATTCACAGCTAGAATGAACATTTAAGTGGGTGGTTTGATGCTTCATACAACAGCTTACAGACTTATTTGGGGTGCTGGCTAACTGAACATCAACCATGTAGAGCTTATGCCTACACATATCTTTTCCAGTCAAGACACAAAAAGTATGTTTTGAGATTTAGTCACATTTGTCGCACAAAACAACATTTTTTTTTTTTTTTTGGACTCAGAATGTTCTCAAAAGTTCAAGGGGCAAGTCACATAGTAAATGAGAACTGAAAAATATAAAGGGAAGTACCTCTTTGACAATGAACCTCAGTGTGTTAGAGAATTTCCCAATTGCAGGGACTCCTTCTGGTTTCTCAAATGCTACAAATGTTTGCCCGGGGGTATCATATGGAAGAGATTTCAGAGGTTTGGAAGCTGCTTCAGAAAACTCCTCCGCTTCAGAAGCATCAACAATAACTGTGACCTGACAACCAGCAATAAAAATTTAAAGGAAAATTCAAGTTTGAGGTGACAATGCCACAAGTTGTTGAAATGATCCATTACATTCTCTAGCTGTTGCTCGGGAATTGTGTTCGTGCAATTATACTGGAACACAACATGACTATCAAAAATGTGTTTCACCACATTGACTGCATATTCTGTCTCAGCTTCAGTAAGCTCCACAGGGGGTGATGACTGACCATATTAAAAAAAATAGTACTCAATAAGTGCAACAAAAAAAAAAAATGATTTACAATGTTAAAGGTAAATAACCAAATGTAATCCAAGGAACCTTGAAAAGCTTTCCATAGCTGGCAAACTCTGGAATGGAGGAGAGTAGTTTTTCATATGCATCAAGCATTGAAGTGGGGCCAGCAGCAGGAGCAGACAGAGCAGTGGGCTTTTTGCCTGGAGCTTTCTTTTCTGCCATGAGTTGAGACTTAAGCTCCTTTGGTACAGAATTGATATCAAAAGGCTGTTCTGAGGGATCCTGCAGCAGTCCAAACCAAATATATCAATTTACAAATGAAAAGATAAAGAAAGAGTAAAACTACAAACAAGAAAAATACTGACATAGTTATTCAAACTGATCTCCAGATTTGCTAATGGGACACCAAGAGATCCAAATAAAAACTCCTTTGCCTCTTCAGCAGTTTCAACAACTGCACCATCACCTCCTAGGGTGTTCAAGTAAAGTGTTGCCCTATCACGAACCTGCCAACAGAAACATCATTATCAAGTCCTTAAGGGAGGCAGAAAACAGGGAACAAAAAAACAGGCTAAGATGTTTATCATTTAACAGGTTAGAACAAAAACTCTGTCCCAAGTGAAAATAATTTATCTCTAAAGAACTGCCAAACACACACACAGAGGGAGGGAGGGAGGAAGCAATTGGATCCTACAAGAAAAACAAATAGATGTAAAAAAAAAAAAAAAAAAAGACTGACCTCATCATCATTGTCAAATAGACAGCGTTTCAACAGAACAAAGATGCGAGGCTGCAGCAAAATTAAAGTAAGGTCTTGGTCATAGTAACTCAACTAACTCTTAATAATCATAAATTGTCTCAAGGATCATCCATACCTTCAAAGAGTCTACCATGGCTCCAAACTTTGCTAATGTACTCACAGCACTAGCCCGAACTGTTGCATTTTCAAGTATGATCCGATTATAGATGTACCGGATGTACTTGCTGGGATCTGCAGTCTTAGGTCCTTCATTTCCCAGAAAGTGAAGTATCTGAAAACAAATAAAAGCTTGTAAGCATCAAAACATGAAATGGCCATATAGAATGAATTAGCAGAAACTGCCGATATAGAGTAATGTAAAAAAGTGAAAATCAACCTGAGTAGAAAGATATGTAAATTCACAATCTTCAATAAATTCACATAAATGAAGCAGCCCACTTTCTTTAGCATCGGGAATATCTCGTATGAGGATCACAATTGAATCAACAATAGCTTTCTTGAACTCGAACCCACCTTCTTCCCTCAAAGTATTGCTCAAGAAATTCATCCTATGAGTGAATAAAAGGTATTAAGCAGATAGTTATTTTATATGAAAAACCATTTGTCAAGCAAGTGGAAGAAAATGGTGAAATTGTGAAAATAACAGAACAGGAAACAAATCCAAATTCAATATGTGCATTTGTAGATCAATCTCCAAGTTCTAGAGAAGCCAGTCCAAGAGCACTCACAGAGATCTGTACTTGAGAGGGAACTTCAAACACAAGGATCTAATGGCTTCCACCACAACAATCTTGAACTCATCAGCAATGTCAGACATGAAATTAGTAATCTGCTTCATCAAACGATCAACACTTGATTCATTGCCAGTTTTAAGAAGAGTTGTGATTGCAAGAGTTGCTATGCTTCTGTTTTGATCTGAGATCAAGCTTTCCATGTCAATATTGCAGTTTGTTACAGCCAATGGATGTGTCATTGCCACCTGCATACAGTTCAAGGTACCGTACTTCACTAAAAAATGGTAACAAGCTATAGAGAAAACCTTGTCCATCTTCCCCACTCTAGTGGATAAATAAACCAGCAGTTCTTTTACTAAAGCTTTAAACAAATTACTCTTTAAAATTAATGTTGCCCGTGCCCAGAAAATAATGGCAATCTGTTTCTCTGTCCCAATAGATTCAGGAAATAAGCCAGAAGCTCTTCTAGTGAAAGGCTAAAAGGCTACAGCATACGAAACTCACAAGAAGATTAAAAAATACAACTAAAGGTAAGATTTAAAACCTACAACACCAAGTTAACACTATTTAAGAGAAAAATAAATAAATTATGTCACAATGACTCACCTTATTCAAAGTTCGGACAGCAGCAAACCTAAGAACTGGCTTGGAAGAGCTTAAAAAGAGTTGTAGCACAGTAATTGCAGGAGTCAATTCCCGACTACTGACACCACTCAATTCTGTAATTGCTCTAGCTGCTTCAAAAATCACCATCTCTGCCTTGTGACGTAGGCAACCCTCTAAGTAATCATAGAACGGCCGATCCCCTGTGTGACTACTAAGACCAGATTCTCTAATTACCTGAAGAGACGCAAAGTAACATTTATGGCATATTCGAACAAAAAAGGGTTGGACTTGGTGAGCCCATGACCTAAAGGGAAATAGGTGAGCACTAGACCACTACACTGAGTCAACCTATATATCCAAACAGAGAAAAAATTTATACTAAAGAATTAAGATCAGTAGAAAAAGAGAGTACCTGGCTAGTATATCGAATCAAAAGGCATTGAGCTAGAGGTGAGCGGACAGTCCCCCTTGTCAAGCTAGTAACTAGCTTACTAACTGCTAAACGGTCATTCTGCCGTATCTGCAAGTTCAAAACTTGAGTTTGTGTCACTACATTTTTTTTTCTTTTGATACCTGAATTCATTCCATATCATTGAGCCAAAGCTATTATTTCTTTTGAGATCCTTCATAGAACATGGATCCAAGATGGGAGTTGGGTTCATAATACTGTAAGAACTAAGAAGAGACAAATGCAGATGAAAAGAAAGGAACTCAGACACTTAACTAGACTATACAAATGAGTGTTCAAAAAGGTGCATCTGTTTCCCACAGGTTAACAATTTATTGATGGCAACAAAGTAACATTTGGAGATCCAGTAAGACAAGGTAGCATGTTAATACAAATCAAAACATCAAGAAGCCCCCCAAAAAAATTCCAGAAATAAGGTATCAGTCCACCTGTTTCACAAATCACAAGAACATCTATGCCCTTAAAATGTAAAGGTTTCACTTGATGTAATAAGACTTGAGCTAAGTTACATGTACCAAAGATGCACATGGAAATGGAAGGAAAGGTACTATCAGTAGTATGAAAGATTGGTTTTTAGTGAATGGTTTTGCAGATTAGATAGAGCCCCAATTAATTCATTTAAATTCTTAGCACATTTTTTGCAATCTAGAGGACACTGAAGGAACAATCAAGAAATAAAGCAATGCAAGTTCATTTCATTCTCTCAAAA